GCGTGTCACCGCACCACACAGCTTGGTGTGAGGGGAATAACAATTAAGGGAACAATTGTACAAACCCAAATCATTGTCAGGATAATGCATCACCCACATTTAGTGCACGAGGCAAATAAGACTTTTGAGAGATATAACTGAGGCCCAGCGTTCCCGAGGGAAGAGCCACACTGTATTTGTAGAGAGGGGTGTTCATTGCGCAGCTCCAGCACATCAGCAGCGGGTGTCTCACGAGGGGTGGGTGGTCCTCCTGCTCGCTGACTGCCATGTGCTGTCCTCTTCAGTGGGACAGGGGAGGCAACGGTGACAAATGCTCCTTCAACAACTGCACCGGGACGTGTTCCGTGTCCTGGATTGTCTTTTTGGTGAGGTTGTGACAGTCAAATCCCTCCCTGTTTGCAGGAGAGGTACCCATTCCCTCTGCCCGGGGAGGGTTACCTGTTCCAGAACGCCCCAGCGATGCCAGGGCCCCAGGTACAAGGTGACCCACCCCAGCCCCGAAGACTTAGGACCGAGTCTGTGCCCTACAACAGCCACCTGGACCCCCCAACCTAAGGACGTGGGGGGTCCGGGGTGGCTCTAGGGGTGCCAGAGCTGGGGGCATGTCTGTGGGACTCTGGGGGTATTGGGAATTCCCTGTAGTCCTGGCGGGTCTCTCACTAGAGGAGGGGAGGTGTCAGGGCTTCCGTGGGGGAATCCGGGAGCCCCGGAGGTATGGGGCATCCCCAGGAGTGTGGGGTGTCCTTGGGAGACGTCACAGCCCCCAGCTCCTCACAAGCATCACAGAGCTGCGCAGCAGGATCTTGGGGCACCCCAACCAGTCCCTCATTAGTGTGGGGGGGTGTCAGGACACCCCAGGGAGGTGGGGCATCCCCAGTGCTCACTCACTGGTGGGGCGATGGTCTTGGGGTTCTCCTTGGGGTCCGGTGTGCATAGATGGGGGGCAGGACCCCCATCTGCGTCATCGTCGGAGTCAGCCATGCTGAGCAGGAGCAAGTTGGTGTGGGCGAAGGTTCGTTTCAGGCTGCAGCTGTTGGTGGGTGGGGGGAGGGGTCCTGCTGGGGGGGCTGGCATGCCATGGGGCAGAGGTTGTGACAGGGACCCCCACAGCCATGGGGCAGCGACTTCCACGGTCACGGGAAGGAAGCCCAGGTCCTAGCTGCCCCTTCAGCCCCCACAGCCCCTCTATTGCCAACAATAACCCTCAGTAGCCCTCCTTAACTCCCCAGGCTCCCCTTTGACCTTCCTCAGTGCCCCCCAGCAGCCCCTGCTGACTCCCTGCCCCCTCCCAGGGACCCTCGAACTTCCCCAGTGCCCCCTCCAGAGCCTCCCAGTGCTGACCCGCAGGATCCTGCTGCCCCCCACTTTGTTCCCCAGTTGCCGCCCACCCTGAGCTGCCTTTTACCCGAGGAAAGTGATGGCCGCGGGCTTGGCGAGCGCCTGGGGGGGACCCGGGCTCAGCAGGGGCCTGAGGGGTGCAGGCTGAGCGCAAACGCCCGACGTGGGGTCCATCACCTCCCTGATCTCCTTGGACTGCACCAGAGTTTTCACCCCTGCGTTGGCCATGGCCCCGGTGGTGCGAGTCCCAACTGGAGGGGTTACGAGGGGTCTGGCTGCCCCCGGGCACAGCGGCAGAGCCCTGTGACCTCGACCTCACAAACACTGGTTCCACTGGTCACACATGGTTCCACGAGGTCATGAGGGGCTCCCCTTCAGCACCTCAGGTTACCCTTTGGATTGCTGGTTTAGTCATTTCTACCCAAAAAGGAGCCTCCAAAATAACAGTAGATTTACACTCGACCAGGGACCAGTCATCACCAGTACGAAGCGCCCTGGGTACATGGGGCCAGTGAGGGCAGGAAAACTCCAACTCAGAAGGGGCTGGGGACAGAGAAGGAAGTGCTAAAGGGTAAAGAATAAAGAATTTCTGGCAGCAGTGCCACTCCTGCCACCCTCTCTGGGCAGGGCAGTGGGATGAGAGAGGTGGGAGCTTAATTTTCACTGGAAATCCCCCCCAGAACTGGTGGGTAGAAAAGGACTGGGAGGGGACAGTCGCTGTGCGTGCGGAGGAGTGCACTGTGACAGACCATCCCACAGCCCCTGCGGATCCAGAGCATCTCTCCTGCTACTGCTCCGAGGCCCACATTGTGCTGCTGACAGATCTTGTCAGCTCAGATAAAAAGTTGAGGAAGGGGGGGTCAGAGACCACCAGGAGTTCGCAATGAAGCTCACTGAAGGCAAAAGGAACTCGCAAACCAGTAGCAACTGGAACAAGTTGCACTAAGGAGAGAGTAAATGACATAAAAGCTGAGGGGATGCAGAATACAGACTCTTTATAGAAGAGACAAAGCAGCTGCAGTTCTCGCCTCGTTCGCTGAAGGACGAAACCGGCTGTTAACCATCAGTGGTGCTCATGGGGGTCTTCTTTCAGGGGTGGAAGAACTTCTCCAGTCTCTAAAATTCTGTCCCCCTGATGGCACAAGACAGCATGGTGAGCGTTTCCTCCTCCCCCCCATCTCTCCTTTCACACCGTGCAGCCCTTCAATTACGCTCTAGCTGTCCCCACTCCAGGCAAAAAAATCTGACTACAACGGCCCACGCTCATTCACCCAGCATTTCCCAGGATGCTGAAATACCATCCCAGCCGAATGAGCTGAAATCTCTACTTGCTTTACGCCCTTCTTTCCAGCTACAGAACAGCAGCCCAACATTTGGAGACAGCATTGTTTTAAAAATGTAGATTGGATTTTCAGCACTGCACAACCACCTCCAACACGTCACAGCTTGAAGCGAGTCTCCAAACCCACAGCCTGTAGCCCATGAAGAGCTATGCACTGCCTCAGAAATCAATCTGATGCCCAATTGTTACGGCTCCAGGCACCGTCTCGGCCTCCTGAGCTGACCTAACCCCAGTGAGTGAGTAGGCTGAAGCCAGAGGCCCGCAGCTCAGCCTCCAGTATGTTGCTGTGCAGTTGTCAGGGACGGAACTTTTTATTTTATTTCAGATAAAGGCAGGTGTTATGCAAAAAAATGTGCAACTGGCAGAAACAACAGAGCTAAACTTCTACAAGAATATTTACCCACCAACTTGCTACGCCAAGCAATGAGTAATGGCTCGAAGCAGCCCGAAAACCAGTAAGGAGCAAATAAACCACTACTCTCCACTTCGAAAACCCAAGCTCAGGCCAGGGGTGGCACGACTCTCTCTCTCTTTGGGGACGCTGGAGCATGGGGGACTCTCAGGGACACCTGGGACCAAGCTCATGCGGCCAGAACCGAAACGCTCGGTGCCAGACTCCTCCCAACTCCTGACAATCGCTGCTCCAGTCAGCAAGGAGAAGCAGAACCGCTCCTGTGTGGCTCCACGCGTCAATAATCCCAGTGGGGGCATTAAACACCCAAACCCCGGCACAACGCCGCGGTGAGTGCGCAGTGACTGCCGCTGGCATTCCGTACAGGAACGCTTCCGTTTTCCGCCCGGGATGGGCAGAGCCCTCAGCCAGGTACTCGTAACTCTGCCGCTGCAGAGGAGGTACCGCTGAAACAGGGACTGGCGCTCTGAGGGCAAGGTGAAAACTGCTCAAAAATACGGTAACTGCACTGCTGCAGGGCAGCCTGCCCACGGGATCGAGCACATCCTTCTGGAAACTCTCCCTGAACGGCTGCCACGCAGACCTGCGCTTCTCCCCAAGCCCCCCTGCTCTGCCTGTACAAAGCTGAAAGATAAAACAAGGATTAAGAGACTTACGGGGAATATCCGTGGATTTGACACGACAATTCCATGTGGCTTTTTCTGAAAGGGAGGGAGAAGAGAGAGAGGTAATAAAGGAGCCTTCCCCCATGAAGTATAAAAGATTTCTGAAACAGAGGTGATGACCCTGCTACGATACAAGCTCTCCTGCACACACGGCTCTTTAGGCCGGGTTCTTTCCACCAGTTAAAGGAATCCTTGAGGCTAATAACGCCTCCCAAGCAAGAGAAGAGTCCCACCCTCCATGCACTGGCTGTTCCCCATCCCCATCCCCGCAGTTATCCCCAGGGTCACCGCTCCTCCAGGAAAGTGACCATTGAGTCCCAGCTTCCCGGCTCGTCAGAGGCAGCACGGCCAAACCCGTCACTGCTGTAAAACATCCCAAAAAATACACACAAGGGAGGGAAAACAAGCGGTGGAC